AATGCTGGCTGGGGAATTCTGGGAGTTGAAGTCCGGACATCTTCAAGTTGCCAAGGTTGAGAAACACTGACCTAGAGTATTAATTTTTTGACGTTTTGGTATGGTACATCTGGTAATGAAACAATTGATATAATTCCTTATGATGCATCAGTTTATTAATAGGGGGCAGCGGGGAATGAGCAATAAAAGCACCTCAGAACTAATTCATTAATTACTAAAGGTTACTCAGCAATTTCTCCAATTTCCTTCACCCAAACGGGGGTGGGTGGGTGGGGGGGAGATAAAGGGAATCTGCTAAGATCTAGCAACATGTGTGCAGTTTCACCAACACAACCAAGAAAGGCTCTGATTAATACACGGACTTTAAAGAAAGGCTGTTGTGTTTTTATTTATTGGATTACTGTGTATATCAAATCTAGAAAGGGTCTACCTCATTCACAGAGCAGCTCTGAGTGGGGTAGGATTAAAACAAGAACAACATAAAAACCGTATATAAATATTATATTATAACCCGTCCATTCCAGGGGTCTCCAACCTTAGCAACTTTAAGACTTGTGGCTGGCTGGGGAATTCTGGGAGTTGAAGTCCACAAGTCTTAAAGTTGCCAAGGTTGGAGACCCCGGGTCCATGGGGCTGGAGAGGCTTCGTATTCGGAACCAACATTCCCACCCCATAAAAACCCCGTACTTTTGCTGACCAGATGATCTACATGTAAGCCTCAACTTACAACTAATTTTTTAGCGCCCATCTAAAGTTACAATGGCACAAAAAGAAGTGACTTATGGCCGTTTTTCACATTACGACCGTTGCAGCATTCCCAGGGTCACGTGATCAAAAACCAGCTACTTGGAGGCTGACTCATATTTATGACGGTTGCAGAGTCCTGGGGTCATGTGACCCCCTTTTGTGAGCTCTTGACAAGCAGTGGGGAAGCCGGGTTCCCTTAATAACTGAGCAACTGCAGTGATTCACTTAACAGATGTGACAAGAAAGGTCATAAAATAGGACAAAACTCACTTAACAACCATCTTGCTTAGCAACAAAAATTTTGCACTCAACTGTGGCCGGAAGTGAAGCCCTGACATGGAAAGTCACACAGGGACTC